GGTGGTCTTTTCGACCCGGCCCAGACGGCCCCGGACGGGCCCTGCGTTGCAAGGCTTCTCGTCGAGATCCCGATCCACTCTCTCAACGAATCTATGAGAAATCTCAGAGGGACCCTGCTACGAAGATCGTCTTTTTCGGTCGAGGACGAGGCGAGGGACATGGCAATGGCCATCAGCTGTGTCAAGAGTATTCTTTCTATACCGTTGGATCCGGATGATCCCTTGTTGCATAGGAAACCAATGAGCCTGAAGAAGCTGTCGAAGCGGATCGAGTTGAGCAGCCGTTCGCTCATGACGACTGTTTCCTCGTGGCTCAGCAACGACTTCATTGGCGGTATGACCCAAAATCTACAGTCGGGGAAAGGTGGCGTCGGGCTCCCGAAAACTTCGTTCGAGACGGTCCGCACCCTGCTCGAAGCCGCCCATGACTACACAATGCTCGAGAACGTCCTGACTCTTACAGCGTCTTACTCTAATGCCGAGCTCTTAGCGTGCTGCGCTGATACCGTTTGTCTCCACTTACCGGTGTTTGCCGCAACAGGAGCGGCCAAGTCGCTCTTCCAGACCCTCTACGAGCGGCTTAAGAGTCTTCTGGAGGAGCAGGGAGTCGGGGCGCGTCCGTTGCTTGCTTCTCTGGCTAATCTAGCGCCGCGCTTGACCGGGTTGGATGACGTGGCAACCCAATTACAAACGGATCTGATACGGATAGACCGTAGCAGTGCTGCCGACGCCTCGTCGCCGTTGTCTGAAAACATGGCTACGCAGCTCCAGGACGCCGAAACGGAGCTGAGCGAGCAGATAGAGAAGCTCGCCAGCTACACTAGTGCTGACAGACCGACGATGGAGCGACTGTTCTACGCGATCATCAAGAAATTGCAAATGTACTGGGGCAAGTCGGACGAGCATCAGCGACTCTGTTGCATTCTCCTCACCAGACTACGCGTTTTCGATATCCAACACTTCAACGAACTCATGAGAAGCTGGGTTCAGCATATACGCAAGCTGACAAACCGACCCCGCATCGACCAATTATTCCCTTCCCTCGTCAGCTCAGGGTGTCTGTCACTGGCAATCCTGTTCGCGACCGCTCCTAGGAGTCAGCTTCAGGCGACGCAGTTCCAGCCGAACCCTGTCGGATCCGCTTCTATCTACATGCAAGAGGTATTGCAAATGCTGATGATGCCGTTTAGCCCGAGTCCCGTCATGACTTCGGAGGACTGCTACCGCTTCCGCATCGTACAAGATCACGCCAAGCGCAACCATGCTCGGGAGATAATGCCGCTGATTCGGGGTGCTCTGGCAGAGTACTCGGTCTCCCACAACCAGCAAGCATCGATCCCTCAACCGCTCGAGGATGAGCAAACTAAGTGCCAGCTACTCGAGCTCCTCCGAGGCTTGATTCTGGTTGACCCGAACGCCGCCAGCCAGACGCTCTCGCTCAAAGGGCCTGATCCAAAGTTAGCTGCGCTGATCGAATTCTGGACTACGAAACTGCTCGTTACGCACGGTGGCGGCGGGCAGAAATCTTTCGAGCAGGTTTTGGAACTGGCAAACGAGTTCACCTTGCCTTTCTGCCAAGTTAAGCTCTCTCTAAATCTAGCAATCGACGATTCGAACGGTCCGGAAGCATCAGAGAGACTTCAAGCACAATTCGAACAGCTATCGAAAGCTGTCGACAATGCCATCGATGCGAACAATATCATGTGGACGGGGATGCTACCCTCGTTGAGCTCGGATATCACGCAACACATGAGGAACCGAGCGGAGTCGCGCTTCTTGGACATCATTCCGTGTCTCAAGAGTCCTCCTGACGATGCGTCTGTCGACAGGAATATTCACATGGCGGAAAATCTACTTACGGTTATTGATGCCATTTTCCGCGGGGGATCTGGGTCCAAGGTCTCTCCACTGTCAGGGGCTTTGGTAGACAAGCTTGCCGACTTGTGGGATATCTTGGCCTCGAGAAACAGCGAATGCGCGTCGCTCAAAGCCGCCGTGCTCTCGCATTGGCTGCCTCTACTCTTCTCGTACTTAACACTCTTTACGTCACCGTCCGCGAGCGCGATAGACATGTCGAAACTACCCGGTGGCGAGATTCGGGCCCGCGCCCTCATCGTCCTTGCCGGCATCGTGCAGGAACTGGACAGCTACCCGTCGTCCAACCTTGGACAGCGGGCTTTTGACATCGCACTCGCTCTCGTCGATAGCCTGCCCGAAGACGCGCGGCTGCAGTGCGTGCGCGCGGTGAAGGACGCCACGGCCGATCCGCGAATCAGGTACTTATTCAGCTTTGCGCCGAACCCGGCAGAGGACCTGATGCTGGCGCATCGCGAGAAACCGCCGCCAGGAATCCACGAGCGGAGGGCGATGGCGATGGGTATGGGCGTGAGCATGATTCCCGAGAAGCTAAGCCCGTTCGTGTTCCGGCGGTGGGAGATCCTCAACGAGCCTACGCCTAATGTTGGCGAGAACGACACGAGCCTGAGCTTGACGCTATTCGATGCTAGGAAGATTAAGTAGTCGGCCTTGTCGCGAGCTTGGATGTTGTCGACTGAGTGATCGAGCTTGGCTGGACTTGTGGGCTCATCGAGATCCTTGACGATGCGCTCTTACATTTTCCGATACCAACAAAAATCGCCCTTGGTTTTGTCTGGATCGTACTACCTGGCCTCGCTGGTCTACATCATGTATGGATACAAAAGGCCCTACAACACCTTTTGAGGCTCTTTAAGGGCCATTACTTGACAGCCCCTTTTCTTACTCCTCTTATGCCTTATGCCCGGCGTTTCTACGACCCTTTTTGGCATCGCATCTGCATAGGTGCCCTCACCATGACGTCTCATCGGCATTTCACGACCACGACCATGACCATGATAATCACGCATTTACCATTTGTTTTTTCTTCATCATGGCGGGCGTGCGATTCTGGTTTTTTTTCTGAAGTTTCATCGACTTGACTTGGCTTGAGTCAATTTGGTTTGCGTATCGCATCGTAGCGCGACGCATGACCAGACTGGACCGGAGTGGATAATACTCGTCTTGATGATACCTGGGGGCTGGATTTCGAATGCATCAGGGCAGGCTAGGCCAAGCTGGCTGGGCCGCCCTGCGAAGTCTCTTCGTCGCGTTCTTCATCCATAGCTAAGCTAGTCGACCTGCGTTTTTTCGTTAGCGGCATTGCGCGGGATGGAATGGAATTGAATGGGATGGTATGGATCGGAGGGGAGTAACAAATGGATCGGAACCTGGTCAGCGGATAGAGCGTGGGCTTTATCTACTTGACCGACCGTTTGTGCGGTTGGGCTGGGCTGGTTGGCGGTTTTGCTGGCTCGCGATTTGCGATTCGCGATTTGCTGTGTTGTATTGGGTTGGGGTTTGTTGATCCTCGTCCTCACTCGGGTGACGTATATAGATTTAGGGAGCGGAGAAGGACCTCCTGGGATATGTGTATGGGAGAGACTGAGTGAGGGAGCGAGTGAGAGAAGAGTGGTTGTAGTTGTAGGGGACGATAGAGGTAGCAGATTATGAGGAGTATTGAGAAGATAGGCGGGAAATGAGAAAGTCATTGAATACCTACATACATACCCAAGTACGGTGTCACTGTTTTATTGCTGTGTTGCTGTGTTGCTTGATATCTACATGTTGCTGGAGGGTTAACTTGTTCTCTATGCTCTGGAGAAACCTGGCTTGGGTGTTTGCCTCGGCCTGGTGAAGTTCTTGATGCTGAGCTGGATAGCGAGACTTGAGAATGTCGTCTTGGTGTTTGGTGTTTGGGCATGGATGGCTTCTTCAGCAGGGGAGTATACCTATCTATGTAGGGACGCCTTATAGATAGATAGATAGATACTTGGTAGGTACCTAGGTGATTATCGGTTCTCTTGTTTGCCATACCCCCCTTTTCTATGCAGAGACCTTCTCGCTTTTATAAGAACGTGGTGGATCGTGGCAAGCTGCTCACCTACCCAGGTACCTACCGTCAAATAATACAACATGCGGGCTTTGGTATCGAATCAAAACTATCAAAGGGTTTTCTCCTTTTTTTATATATTAAAAAGTCTAGTTGGTCTATTGAGTGAGCGAGGAAACGAAAGAGTCAGGAGAGTCGGTGCTGAGGGAGAGGCTACGTATATGATATATGCTCCATCTACATAGATACCTAGGTAGGTATGTATGTACATGTCTCTCTGGCTAACGTGGTATGTCTACTGGTCTGCAATGGTCGCATAGATCGTTTCTGGAGGCACTACAGAGAGAGAGAAACGGATGCCCATTGCCCTGGCCTGTGTGAGGCGATGCGCTAGGTGTTCTACGCTTGGAAGTCCCTGGAGAGCGTGGCACATGCGATGGATGGATGGTTGACTGACTGACTGACTGTCCGTCAGCTCTGTTTCTGTTGAGCTTATATCATTTTCGTACGAAAAGACTAGAATCTGATCATGGGCCTTTTTTACTTCGTCCACCGGACCTCTTCGGTATACATGGAATAAAGGCTTACTTGAACGACTAGGTTCTCTCAATAATGTTCTAGGATACATGTCAGTCTCGGCGAGAAACCATATCACGGATGCCCTGAGGAGTAGGACGGAGCAACAGGGAAAGGAGAATGGCACTGGTAGAATGTAGGATGTATAACATGTGTTTGTTCAAGACGCCTAGTCTCGACGGGAGTTCTCCTCCTTGGTATATCACCATGATTTGTCGTGGCCAATGAATGGGCTATAAGAGTACCCACTGCATCTGTCGATGGCTGAAGTCAGTTTCTTGAGCTGTAAAAACCTGCTGATTGATGGTTCGTTTCGGTCGAGTAGTATAGGCCTGAACTGCCTGAGAGACTCGTCTTTGAATTGTGGGCTTCTAATACTAATTAAGCCTACTTACCTACACCTGGATATCAACAACAAAAAGACACGACCAAAGACACGACCGCCGGACTGAGAAAACCGAAAATGTATATCCTATATATAACTTAAAGTATTGCAGATACACAAAAAACAAGTGACGGGTCTGGCCGGGGATTGAACCCGGGACCTCTCGCAAACTATTCCACAACTTCATTTGAAGCGCAGACCTCAGGGTGAGCCCTAAGCGAGAATCATACTGTACCACATTAGCGCGCGTGCTCGAAAAGGAACTTGGCAGCGCAGATTCAACTTACCCACTAGACCACCAGACCTTATTGGATGAGTTTGCGACTTGTAAAATGGGATTAAGTTTGAAGGAGAAACAGCCGGTGTCGGTGTGCGGAGGCAGGATTTTAATTCGTGAGTCAGCTTTGTACTACTTGGGTACCGCCGTATTCGTGGAAAGAATTGATTGCTTTGGTATAACATGCGAGGAGTCGTCAAATTTTTTTTTGAAACGACGTCGCAGAGTGTTTCGAATGATAGAGGAGAATCAAAACTGAGGAAGTGAAGATTTTCGGTACAAGGCACTTAGATTGTAAAGCTCGAAAACGGATGAAGATGGTCAAACATGGCTGATTTCGCCATATGGCTAATAATTTAGACCAACTTGGACCTCGGAATCACGCTGTATACCTTGTAGGCCATCGCATGCAGTCTGTCATTGCAGTCCCTACCTAAGTAACACAGTAGTCCAACGCCCCATGAGAACAACAAGTCAAGCGCAGTGCTTTCTATTGCCATCTAGTAGTGTGATATCTACCACAAATACCCGCCTGCCGCCTTTTATCTCCCATCTTCCCAATGCAAATAAATCACACCCGACGCCATATATGCGGTATGCTCTACCCCCTGCCCACTGCCCACTACCCACTGCCCTCTACTCTCCTCCGAATTAGATGAACCCCTTGAGCACCGCCGCCTCGGCATTCAGTATAGACGAACCAGCCGCCCCGATAACAGCTAGCGAACAAGTCATGTTAGCAACACCTCCCCCAGATCAGTGCGCTTCTTGGAGATAGGCGTCCCGCATATAGGGCGAATCCTCACGCAACAAGGAAGCAAGAGGACCGATAAAACTCACTATTGTGGCTCAGCGCGACAAACTTGATATCAAAGATGCCACTCTCATCCTCGCGCACCCGTCCAACGCTAACGGTGTACCCGCGACTCAGCTCGCGATCCAGCCTCGGCTGCGGCCGATCCGGCTCATCGAAGACCATGATGCTCGGCGTCGGCGCGCTAGGACAGCCCAGGGTCTGGGCGTCGCTCACGTAGTCGCGCAGCGCAGCCCTGACGTCGTCGGCGCGGGGCGGGGGGCGGGTGCGGAAGCGCAGCGAGACGCAGGCGGTGTGGCCGTCGAGGACGGGGACGCGGTTGCAGGCGGCGGAGATGCGGAGGTCGGACTGCTCGACGAAGGCGGTGGCGTCGGCGCTGAGGCCGCCCAGGATCTTGCGCGCCTCCGTCTCCAGCTTGTCCTCCTCGCCCGCGATGTACGGCACCACGTTGTCCAGCACGTCCATGCTGCTCACGCCCGGGTACCCGGCCCCCGACACGGCCTGCATCGTCACCACGCTGGCGCAGTCCACGGCGCCGAAGCGCGCCTGCAGCGCCGCGAACGGAATCACCAGCCCGATCACCGCGCAGTTCGAGTTGCACACCAGAAACCCCTTGCCCAGGCCGCGGCTCCGGCGCTGGTGCGGGATCAGGCCGAGGTGCGGGAGGTTGACGGTCGGCACGACGAGCGGCACGAGCGGGTCGCGGCGGTGGTTCTTGGCGTTGGAGAAGACGGGCAGGTCGGCGCGCACGAACTCCATCTCGATGTCGCCCGCGACGTCCGCGTCCAAGCCGCTGAACACGACATCGCAGTCCGCGAACTCGGCCGCGCGGCACTCGCGCACCACCAGCTCGCCCACCGCAGCATCCATGGGCGCGGCCTGCTTCCACCGCGCGGCGTCGCGGTACCTCTTGCCGGCTGACCGCGATGACGCGCCTACGGCGTGCAGCACCAGGTGCGGGTGCTGCGACAGCAACAGGATAAAGCGCTGGCCCACCGAGCCCGTGCAGCCCAGGACGCCTGCATCACATACCAAACACCTAGTCAGCGTGCGGACTCGGCCATTGGCTTGGAGGGGGAGCGCGTACCGCATTTCTTGGTGGGGAACTGGGAAGCCATGATGTCTCTGATATCAATTGACTCTTCGTAAGGTCGGATACTTGAAATCGAAGTGCTTCAGCCTTCAGGTGTGAGTCAAGTTGCCTCTATGAAGATTTATATTATTTACAGTAACAATGTACCTCCAGGAGTTACTTTGCAGGCAGCTCGATGCTAAAAATTTGCCCCGCCAATGGACCCCGCCATCCGCCATCGGAAGACACTTTCAGGGGTCTCGAGTTATTATTACCCCACTATTGCGTGTACCTAAGAAGTCAGCCGTTTCGGCGTCTGGCTTCTGAGTCTTGCACTATTTTCAAATGCCATCGTGACGGCGTCCGCCGTTTGTGACTTTGCTGCTGTGGGCAGAGCCCGAGAGATGGGCTGCCATACTACGGATATACTCAAAAGTAGAAGAGGACTGAGAAGAAATGACGGAAGACCGAGTCTGGGTAGGAGTAAATCGGGGTGTGTACTGCACTGAAAGTGCTCTTCCTCAAGGACAAGACAGTGAGTCAGAGACAGTCGAGACTTTAGCTATGATGGTTGCTCGAATCCCAAAATCCGAGATATTCTATGTCCTTCATGTGGATAGCAGACATCTAAATATCAAATAAAGTACCTACGGATTGTATATGGTGGTTTCAGAGAAATGACATATTTCAGGTATACTACATCTCATCAAAGACATCTCAACACAAATTCCTCGCCCCTATCTCCAATCAAGCATACCCTCGTCCTAACTCCTTGCACATAATTATCACCCTCGACCCGCTATGGAAATGCTGTCGATGGCAACGTCGCCAACGACTCCCTCTACCTCTACCTACATCAGCAAAGGCACCAAAAACAACCATGCCAAAGGTCAGATCAGCGTAATAGGGGGGCTATCCGAACTTGACAAGTCGCGGACGGCATCTACGTTCCCATCTATTCCCGGTCAGATGCCTCAGGTAGCACGTCTAAAGAACACCTGATTTAATGAACAGCTTTTATTCTCCCGCATAACGCTCAAGTATATACAGGTTTCTAAAGTGACATCGCATCACATCTCGTCACCGAGCATTCAAATCCCGAGGAACCCCATTTTTAAGAGAACGTAGAAAAGCATAGCATTTGATGTCAACGCATTCCCCGTCTAGTCTAGTTCATAGGAGGTATACCCTCAAACTCCGCATAGCCGCGAGCTAGATTCATGTTTTCTGTAGACTTCGCATTAGCAATTTCGAACCAGGAAATTCGTAGGGGAACCGGGAACAATTCGCGGACTGGGATACTCACGTAAACATTGCGTGGCGGCTCCCTTGAGCAGGTTGTCGATCGTCACGCAGATAACCACCCGCTTCCCGGAGCTGTGGACCGCGAAGCCGCCAATCTCGACGCCGTGCCTCCCGCTGATGGCCTTTACTAACGGCGCCTCGCCCACCACCTTGACCAGCTTCTCCCCCGCGTACCTGTCCTGGTACATCTGTCTGATGTCTCGCGAGGTCATCGTCTTGTCGAGGGGAATGTTGATCGTGTGGTGGATGCCCTGGAACCACACCGCCACGTGGGGAATGAACCCCACGTCGACTCCCAGCTGACTGCTAATCTCCTTCTCGTGGATGTGGTCCGTCAAGCTGTAAGGGATGAGGTTGTCCGTCAGGATCTCCACGTTATTCTTCGCCGAAGGCTTGGTGCCGGCCCCTGAGTAGCCGGAAACACCAAACACCGTAGGCTGGCCGCCGAGGTACTCCACGAGTGGCGCAATGCCGAGCTGAGCGGCGGTGGCGTAGCAACCAGGGTTGGAGATGTGCGTGGCCTGGGCGATTTGCGATCGCTTCACCAGTTCGGGGAGACCGTATGTCCACGACTTGTCAAATCTATAGTCGGCAGAAAGATCTACAATCACGCTGCTGTCTTCTCTGGAAGAAGATTCCTTGGCCCTGTTGATAGCGTCGACGTATGGCTTGCACACGCCATTCGGTAGCGCCATAACCCATACGTCTATCTTACCCTCCTTCTCCATCTCGTATACTTCGTCAAAGCTTAGATTCTCGTAGATGATTTCCTTTTTGGTATATCCTTCCAGCTTCTGTCCTGCTAATTCTCGTGACGACACATGTCGAAGCTCGAAGTGGGGGTGAGTATTAATTAGGCTGATAAGATTCTGCCCGGTATAGCCTCGAGCACCGATCAGCGCTACCCTCGACGGCGCAATGTTCGAAGCGTGCTTCTTGCCGTATGGAGGGTTAGGGTTGGTCTCGGTCGCGAAACCCCTGCGCGACCCGCGCGAGAAAGCCCCGGCAGGGCCAGCTCCTAACACAGGACGACGGGCGAGCGTCGAGTAACCACGTGCCTGGTTAGCCACAGAGCCGGAGGCGAAGTGTGCGCGTAGGTTCTCGGAGGCGATCTGGGCGGCTCGGTGGAGTCTCGACTCCAAGTTGGAGTCGCCGAGCATTGCCCTGCCATGGATAGTGAATTCCGACATGAGTTTATTCAGCTCCTCTCCAGGGTCGATTCCGTACCAGAACATGACATCGTTGCCCCTTACGATGCTGCCGGCGGCCTTGTCGAAGAACCAGGTAAGGTTCTCGTCGTCGGCCTTGACTGTCCAGACTAGGTTGGGATAGTCCTTCTTAATCGCGGCAAATAGGTTATCGGCGACATTTGTGAGCCAGCCAGACTTTGTTATCGTCAAGGTGGCCAATGTCGAATAGGATTGATCTGGGGCGGGGTCGAGCACGACAGCTAGAGCTTGCATGGGCTCGTCGAAGTAGGCCTTGAACTTCCGCCCGCTCAAGAAGTCCAGATATCGGTCGACGGTGGCCCTAGCGTCCCGGACCTCACGATCTCGGACGAGCACATCCTTTAACTTGCCAAGATCGCTGAAATCAGCAACACTTTCTGCGGTTACCAACTTGTTCCCTCGACGAATAAGAGTTCCGGCTCCGGAGTCTGTGAACAATTCCTTTTGCAGGTCGGCGGGGTGTATGATGGCAACGCTAGAGGTGCGTGGGAGGGTCTCCAGGAGATCCTTAATCTCTCGGATCTTTAACCGAGTACCAAACTTGCACCACGACTGTGACATAATGTGTTCGTATTCTTCGTCAAGGTTGATGGCGGAGATCTTCTGCA